CCAGGCCAACGTGCCTGTAACCCTTCCCTAGGATCAATCGGGGATCACCAGTGGACCTCTGACACTTTGGGTCGATCTCAACCCCAGCCTCGGAAATGACGTGACCTAAAAACTCTAGCCTATCCCTAAAAAACTCGCACTTGGAGCCCTTGGTGAGCAGCCGATGTTCCTCTAAAACCTTAAAAACTGCTTCAAGATCTGCTAAGTGTTGCTGCTTATCCCGACTGTAAACGAGGATATCGTCGAGGTAAACGATCACGCATTTATCTAAAAGTGGTCTAAACGCCTCGTTCATGGTCATCTGAAAGGTCGCAGGCGCGTTCGTCAACCCGAAAGGCATTACTGTATACTCGAATGACCCGTACCTAGTCCTAAATGTTGTTTTTGCGCAGTCCGATGGTTCGACCCGAATCTGATGGTAACCTCCCCGTAAATCTATTTTCGAAAAGACACGTGCTGTTCGCAATTGGTCAATCAGTTCGTCGGCGCGGGGGATGGGGTATCGCGATTTGACTGTTACTCGGTTAAGCGCTCGGTAGTCGATGCACATGCGAAAACCTCCGTCTTTTTTCGGTGTGAACAGTATGGGTGCGGCGAACGGTAACGAGCTTGGTCGAATAAACTGCTTCTCTAACAGGTAATCTAACTGCTTCCTTAACTCGTCGAGCTCGGGCTGTGTCAGTCGAAATTGCCGCTGTACTGTTGGCTGTGCCCCCGGTTCTAGCTCGATCCTGTGGTCGTGCGCTCGCTGAGGTGGCAGTCCCTGTGGTAAATCATCCGGAAATATCCCCGGGAACCGTTTCAGTAGTGTCTGTAATTCGGTCGGTACGGCTGCTAGCAGTTTCTTTAAATCATTCTGCTGCTCGTCTTTTTCTACCACTGCGATATCTACTGCGTACACGTCGGCTCCAGCAGCGACAGCCCGTTTCATCGTGATAGCGTTGACCTGGACTGTCGAAGATTCGGGTGGCCGCCAGCGAGGTAGGACGACCCAGTTTCCGCTACTTCGCACTGTGCAGCTCCCCGTCGTCCAGTCAATCCGTGGGTTGTACCGTCGCAGCCAATCACGTCCCAGTAAAATGTCGTGCCCATCCAGCGTCGTTGCGAGCATTTCCTGTGTAAACCCGAAGTTTCCCCCGCAGCGGACTTTTACTCGCTCCACTTTTTCTCGTATGGCCAATGGCGTGCCGTCGACTAAGCGTGCATCTATCTCAGGTAAACATCGGTTAAGTATTAACTGTAATCTCCGTGCGGTTGCAGTATTAACTAAGCTGTGACTTGCCCCTCCGTCAATGAAGATTTTCACTGCTGCTCCCTGTATTTTCCCGTAGATCAGTACCGGGCAATCCGTCGCTGTACCCTCCTTATTCATCCGAGCCCGATCGATGGCGTGAATCGGTACTGTGACTCGGTGAGGGTCGGTGTGGTTGGGCGAGCAGGCAGTCTCGTCAGTAGTTGGCCCAACTTCTACTGACTGCTGGCGTTTCCCTGCCCCCGAGACTCCTTCCCCTGCTCTGCTCCTCGACGCCTCAGCTCCTCTGGACATTCGCTCTTGCGATGGCCCGGCCGGTTGCAAGCAAAGCAGCGCCCTCTAAATGGCGTGGCAGCTGCATTCGTTGCGACGGCTGTCAGAGGTCCACTGGTGATCCCCGATCGATCCTAGGGAAGGGTTACAGGCACATTTGCCTGGGGGGTTATGGGCGCACAGACCCGCTACTGAAACAAGCCCTTTTATCCCAATGGTCTAGTGGTTGGGATTCTGAGATGGTATCCAGAGCGAAGGTCTCGGGTTCGAATCCCGGTGTATGCACTTCGGGCATCCCAGTGCGGGGGGGTGTCAGAGGTCCACTGGTGATCCCCGATCGATCCTAGGGAAGGGTTACAGGCACATTTGCCTGGGGGGTTATGGGCGCACTGACCCGCTACTGAAACAAGCCCTTTTATCCCAATGGTCTAGTGGTTGGGATTCTGAGAACGGCATGTACAGTGGCGTGCTCGATCGGTCCCCGAGGACGATGTCCGAAATAGGACCCCGGTCTCGGTCGGCGTAGGATATCGATTTTCTCGGCGAGCGCGAGGATTTCGTTGAAATTCGATAGCCCGCGTAGCATTATCTCGTGCGATATGTCCGGCTTCAGCCCTCCGACGTAACGGTCCACCCGTTCCGCCTCGTGCATGTAGCCGACCTGTTCGCAAAGTGCGAGAAAACCGCTGGTGTAGTCTTGAACCGACCCGAGCTGGCGCCAAGTGCGCAGTTTCTGACGCGCCGAAATCGAAGCCGCGATCGGCTCAAAACGCGCCCGAAGCCCTGCGCACCACGCATCCCACGTGCTGTATTGGGCTGTTTCGCAGAACGAACTCCAGGTGACAGCTGGACCCGAGGGCCCTTCCTCGTGCGACGGTGGCTCGTAAGCGCGTGGCGACGTCACGATGACTCGCCACCAGTCCATGGCGGGGCCCCTGAGTAGTGAAACCGCATACCGAAACTTGGCGGCGTCCGACTCGACGTAGTTGGCGTCGAAAAACACATTCATCGTGAAGACCCATGATTGAACTGTCGGGCCGCCGCGTTGGCTTGGGTCGAAGCAGGGCGGGCGTTGCGGCTTGAGTGGCATTGGGGCCATCATGGCGTTTTCACCACTTGTCGTCGCAAACTCCACGTGCCGACGGGCTTCTCGGGGCTCCCGTGGGCTTAGCGTGCTCCTGTTCCCTCCCATGCCGGGCATCGGTTGGGCTGCGCCGTCACTGGCTGCGCCTGAGCGCTGTCCCGTGCTGTTGTGTTGCGTTGGTGTGCCGGATGAAATGATAATCGGCTCCTCCGAATGTACAGAGACATTGGTTGGTGCATGGGATGTTGTCGGAGCATTCACCGTTGACTGTTGACGAGCGGAGTCACGGTCCGCCGTGAGCGTCGCGATTTCAAGCGCCGAATCCTCCAATTGTCGCACGAGACGATCGAGTTGCTCCTGCGTCAACGTGGCGAGAGTGAGGTCGGCCATGGCGGGGGTGTCGGGCAAGCTCAGCGAGAGCCTCGGTCGTGGCCGTGCGTGCTTGCGAGAGAGCACTACGAGCGGCGGTGCTGTGTCGCTGAGAGACGTCTACCCCCCCCAAAAATTGAGATAGTGGGAAGCGAAGGTGTGGATGCGGTCCGAGATGAGATCGTAGGCTCTGATTACCAAGTGTTACGAGTGCAATTGAGTGAACGAACGAGAATTGCACTATCGAAGCAAAGAGTACAATGAGCGAAGGCATGAGCGAAGGTTTATATAGCGAAACAATAGTGGTAACGGTAATGGACTGTGGTTGTCGCGCGACGAGCCTGGGGCTGAGGTTGGGAAAGTGTCGAAGCGTAGGCCCGGAGCGCGGGTTACCAGCCGAGCCGTGAGGTTGGGATGCGATGTGCGACGAGGGCGGGATAATGAATGATGCGATGGTCGTGAGTGGTAACGGTGCTGACTGAGGTGCTACAGTGACGTACGCGTTGAGCAGGGACGCGAAGTAAGGAAAAGGGAATTTCCTTACAAACACAAACATATATAGGCAGGCGAGGGTTTCACAAGAGGTTGCGTGGGCGCTGCGAGTAACCCAACCCCACGAAAGTGGTGTGTGGGTGAGCGAACGCGCCTCGCCAATTTCCCAACCCAATTCAGCATCGACTTCTCGCTTCCGTGCACACCACTCCACCAACACAGCAAGGAGTGGTGCAACTCTCAAGGAAGCACCAACGACTCCCACGGACTCTCGCTTCTTCATGCGAACTCCTGCGTAGTTGCACATAGTCACACGTAGTCACACCCGACCTTCACTGAACTCATTCATCGGTGCCGAGTAGACTCAGTCGTTAGGCGTCGACCTGCCAAGTCAAAGGTGATCGAGGGCCCTTGCTGTTGTAGGGCCCTCTAACAAGTGGGTGAGAGAACAACGAGCCGAGAGGAGGAAAACGAGCCCCTGTGAAACTGCTTTTGAGTCGACTCAAAAGAAAACGAGCCCCTGTGAAACTGCTTTTGAGTCGACTCAAAAGAAAACGAGCCCCTGTGAAACTGCTTTTGAGTCGACTCAAAAGAAAACGAGCCCCTGTGAAACTGCTTTTGAGTCGACTCAAAAGAAAACGAGCCCCTGTGAAACTGCTTTTGAGTCGACTCAAAAGAAAACGAGCCCCTGTGAAACTGCTTTTGAGTCGACTCAAAAGAAAACGAGCCCCTGTGAAACTGCTTTTGAGTCGACTCAAAAGAAAACGAGCCCCTGTGAAACTGCTTTTGAGTCGACTCAAAAGAAAACGAGCCCCTGTGAAACTGCTTTTGAGTCGACTCAAAAGAAAACGAGCCCCTGTGAAACTGCTTTTGAGTCGACTCAAAAGAAAACGAGCCCCTGTGAAACTCGTCGAAAGCAACTGAAAAGGGAGAGCCGATGGATAGTGACAACCATGGCTGCGAAAAGGAACGCTTTGTGCAGTGGCTAATAACCCAACTTCGAAACAACGCGCGGCGGCTTGATTCGAGGTGAAGTAGGGCGGGACCGCCATGGCTGATGTGTATGACCTGGATGGAGCTCATGCAATGTGGTCGATGTGCTTCAAATAAAAAATATTCTCGCTGGAGTCAGAGTGCGGTACGGTACAACTGCCATACGGTATGGTATGTTAGAAAATGCGACGAAGGAAGACGCTTCCTTCCATTCCATGCCTTGCCATCAGTAAAAATCTAGTTTGTGATTGAACATAAAGGAATGCTAAACGATTCATCAAAGCTGATTCTGTATTTTCTTGCAATCTTGTGAATGAGAATAACCTACCAGCAAACACACTGGACCCCACTCAAATACACATCAACTAGCATCAGCAGCATTGCAAGAGAAATACCAGAACTCCCATGCCCCCCCCCCATTCGTCCCTCAACATGTCAAAGCGGCAGGCCGCCATGCACATTCCAATAAATCCATAGCCACATCACTACTTACGCTCCCTCGACATGCACATCCCCTCCTCTCCCCAACAACCGCCATCACTCCACAGCAACAGGGTCAGCCAGCAGCACACGTGCCGCCCGCTCCTTCTCGCCGGCCATCATGGCCTCTCGGAACCGTGCCAGCTGACGGTCCCTCATCTCCACGGGGGAGGGCGGCGGCGTGTCAAACGACCCGTACTGCCGCGCCAGGCTGGCAAACTCCTCGCCGCCCATCGCCTTCTCCTCTATCAGCTTGTCCACTAGTGCATCCACCAGACTGCGATTGCGCCTTAGGATCTGAGGCAGTGGGAAGGTGGGGAGGGGAGGACAGGGTGGGGGTTGGGGATGGAGAGGGGAGTAAGGGACAGGAGAGGGCACAGGAGCTTGCCCAGCTTGTCCACTAGCACGTCCACCAGACTGCAGTTGCGCCGCAGACTCAGACGAGGAGGGTTTGGAAAGGGGGAGGGGAGGGCAGAGGGAGGGGCGCGTAAGGGACAGACGAGGGTATTGAAGCTCGCCCAGCTTGTCCACTAGTGCATCCGCCAGACTGTGGTTGCGCTGCAGGATCTCATCTGGACAGGGGGAAAAGGGGGTAGAGGGGACAGGGTGGGGGAGGGGGACAGGGGTTTGGAGAGGGAGAGGGCGAGCCTGGCCACTGGCGCATCTACCAGGCTACAGTTGCGCTGCAGGATCTGAGGAGGGGGGAGGAGGGAAGTGGAAAAGGAGGGAGTGGTTGGGGGGAGATGAGGAGTGGGGTGATACGGACAGAAGAGGCTATAGGAGCTTGTCCAGCTGTCCACAAGTGTACCCAACAGGCTGCGGTCGTGCTGCAGGATGTGATTTGAATAGGGAGGAAAGGAAACTGGGGTAGTTAGGAGAGGGAGAGGGAAAGGGAGACGTAGAGAGAGTGGGAGAGGAAGAGGGAGAGGGAGAAGAGCCTGTCTACTGGTGCACCCACCTGCACGACCCTGGAGCGGCTCATTCAGCGCCCATGGAGCATCCATCAAGCACAGCACTCACCGCACCCACATGAGGCGCACAGTCCCATACCGCGCAAGATCACGTGGCGCAAGATCACGTGGCGCAAGATCACGTGGCGCAAGATCACGTGGCGCAAGATCACGTGGCGCAAGATCACGTGCCGCAAGATCACGTGCCGCAAGATCACGTGCCGCAAGATCACGTGCCGCAGGGCATGCCTCGCCACTTTCACACCACTCACAACACCCACCTGAGCAGCCCTGGAGCGGCACTGTTTCAAGAATGCGGGAAGCGTCGGCATCAACGGCCTCGCGGCGCCACGGTGCATCCACAACCGCCACGCCGATGCCATACAGTGCGGCCTCCTCACTCGCACCCACCGCAACCGTCCCCTCCGCAACCACTCCCATCTCAACCACACCCACCTGAGCAGCGCGGGTGCGGCACTCCTCAAGAATGCGGGAAGCGTCGGCATCAACAGCCTCACGGCGCCACGGTGCGTCTACAGCCGCCACGCCGATGCCGTACAACGCGCCCTCCTCACTCGGCGCTGACAAACCGTTGAGAGCCACCTGGCGCACTGTGCGGCGTGCCACGTCAGCGTGGTCCGCCCAGATGGTGCACGTCTGGCAGATGGGGATTGGTTCGAGGACGCAAGGTGGATAAGGGCGATGATAATGGGGATGGTGAAAATGATAGGGAATAGAGAGATGAGGGGGATGAGAGGGATGAGGGGGTTGATGGGGATGAGAAAGGAAAGGGAGAAAGGTGAACTGGCTTGACAAAAAAGGCCATGCCGTTCTCAAGGCTAGTAGCACAGCAAAACTGCCTCACCCCATCCACTGCTCCATACAAATCACCCACCTCCTCTCCTCAGTTTCACATCTCGTCGGCCATTATGGACGCCAGCTGCACCATAATGAAGTCCCGTATGCACTCCTAGCACCGTGACTTCCACCTCTGGAGACAGATCAGCCTGCTGCAGGCAAATCTATGGCACACCCACTCACCTCCTCGGCGCCGTTCCACATCTCATCGGCCACCATGGGCGCCAGCTGAACGGTGATGAAGTCACGCAGGCACGAGGCAGAGATGAAGTTGGCCTTCATCTTCTGCGTGTCCACCAGCTTGTACCGCACTGAACCCTTCTCCTCCGTCATTCGCGGCACCACCGTGATCTGGATGAGCGGGGCGGGGAAAGGAAGAGGAAGAAGTGCAAGAGAATGGGGGGAGGGAGGCGAGGGGGAGTTGGGAGTGTTCAGGAAGCAAATGACATAAACAATGAGAATTTATCACCCACTCAATCAGCCACGTGCCCGCCCGCCTACCCAATCACCGGCTGAACTCTTTCATCTTCAAAACGTTCACCGGGATATTGTCCTCAGTGTTCACCAAGAAATCAGCCTGTTAAACATTCAAACACCTGCTGATTAATATTGATTATACATGCACTTGCTGAATGCTCGCTGAACGTTCATCTCAACACCCACATCCCAACTGCAGACATTCACTTGAACATTCACGGCTCCTGAGCCCCATTCAAAATGCTCACAAAACATTCACGGATGCACCAACCCACCAGCTGAATGTTCACCAACCCACCAGCTGAATGTTCTGGAAGTCGCGGAAGTTGAACGCCACTACAGCCAGCGCCGCCTCGTTGAGTGCCAGCTGGCGCTGCCTGATTGGGCTGCCCTCGTGGGGCGACGGGTACCCTCCCTCCTCCAGCATGGCGGCTTGCAGCATGTCGTCTGTTGTGATCTGATGGGAGAGAGAGGGGGGGAAAGAAGAAGAAGAATGTTGCGAAGGGGATACGTGGGGAAAGGAGTACCCCCCCTCTTCCAGCATGGCGGCCTGCAGCATGTCGTCCGTTGTGATCTGATGAGAAAAAAGGGAGGACGGAAGAAGGGTGGACGAGGAAAGGAGCAATTGCAATAGAAAGGGGAGCTGAGGAAGGGGCTAGTACACCCCCCTCCTCCAGCATGGCCATCTGCAGCACGTCGTCTGTTGTGATCTGATGGGAAGGGGGGTACAGGGGAAGAGGGAGGCGGAGAGGAGAAGAGAACGGAGCTGAGAAAGGGTGTATTCAACCTCTTCCAGCATGGCGGCCTGCAGCATCTTGTCTGTTGTGAACTGATGGGGAGGGGGGAGGGAAAAGGTTGAGGGAAAGGGATGGGGGGAGATGGTAAGGGCCGGGGATGGGTGGACTGCACTGCAGCATGCCGTCTGCTGTGATTTGATGGGAGAAGGGGGGGTCAGGGAGGGAGGGGGAGAGGGAAGGCGGAGGGGAGGCGGGGCAGGAGAAAGGGGAGCATGGATGGGGTCGTTTGGAGAGTGGTGCAGCCACAGGTACCCGCCACCGTTGAGTATGGCGGCCTGCAGCTTGTTGTCTGTGTGATGTGATGGGGACCAAGACAAGCGAGGGCAGGGATGGGAGGGAGCAATATAGTATGTGCAGCAGCTTTTTTGACGCACCTTGAATTCCACCCACCACACATAACCACCCACCACACACACATAACCACCCACCACACACACATAACCACTCACCACACACACATAACCACTCACCACACACACATAACCACCCACCACACACACATAACCACCCACCCACCACACACACATAACCACCCACCACACACACATAACCACCCACCACACACACATAACCACCCACCACACACACATAACCACCCACCACACACACATAACCACCCACCACACACACATAACCACCCACCCACCACACACACATAACCACCCACCACACACACATAACCACCCACCACACACACATAACCACTCACCACACACACATAACCACCCACCACACACACATAACCACCCACCACACACACATAACCACCCACCACACACACATAACCACCCACCACACATCACCATCCACCACATATCACCATCCACCACACATCACCACCCACCACATATCACCACCCACCACCAATCACCACCCCTCACCGCTCACCACCCATCACCACCCACCTCGGATCGGTTCTCCCGCAGCACTCTGAGCGCCGCCACGTCAACCACGTTCGCCAGCTCAGCGCCCGACATGCCATCTGTCACCTGCGCTACCGCCTCAAAGTCCACGTCATCATCCAACACCTTGTTGCGGCTGTGCACCTGTGGGGGGGACGGTCGGAGAAAGAGGGGTGCGTGGTCATTGTGATTATTGGGAATGAGGTGACCTTTGAGTCGACACCACGTCATCATCCAACACCTTGTTGCGGCTGTGCACCTGTAGGGGGGGGACAGAGAAGGATGTGATTGTAGAGAACGAGGTGACTTCTAGTCAACTCAAAATTTAATACATTATCACCCTCCACCTTGTTGCGTGCAACTGCGCACCTGAGAGGGGGAGAGAGACGAGTGTGATTGAACGGAATGCTGAAGGACATCACAACTATCAAACTAAACGTTTCCTCAGGTGAGTCCAACAGAGAGCTCAGGTGAAATCCATAGAGTCCGGCCAACAAGCTGCAAGTCCCCTCACCTCCAGGATCTGAGCGCGCCCCTTGAGACTCGGCTTCGGGATGTAAATCTTTCTGTCAAACCTGCCCGGCCGCACCAGGGCAGCGTCCAAAATATCCGGCCGGTTGGTGGCTGCTATGGTGATGACGTCACCTCTGCCCTCAAATCCATCCAGACACGTCAGCAGCTGTTGGGGTGGGAGGGAGGGAAGCAGGTTGGAAAGAGCAGGTGAGTGGGAATAATGTAAGGAAACGACTTGAGTGGGTGAGTGAGCTTTGACAGGCTCTGCTCGGGCATAATGCACCGGGGCACCGGGGCACCACCAGGGCACCAGGGCGGGAACTGTTTGATTGAGAATCTCACGCTCCTCCCCTCATGCACATGCTCATTCCCATGGCGTTCCTCTCCTGCCCGCCAGACCCCTCCATGAGCCCCCTCTGCTCTGCTGGTGACTTTGAGTTGACTCCGAAATCACATACTCCCGCACATGACCCTGCATGCCCGCACATGACCCTGCATGCCCGCACATGACCCTGCATGCCCGCACATGACCCTGCATGCCCACACATGACCCTGCATGCCCGCACATGACCCTGCATGCCCGCACATGACCCTGCATGCCCGCACATGACCCTGCATGCCCACACATGACCCTGCATGCCCACACATGACCCTGCATGCCCACACATGACCCTGCATGCCCACACATGACCCTGCATGCCCGCACATGACCCTGCATGCCCGCACATGACCCTGCATGCCCGCACATGACCCTGCATGCCCGCACATGACCCTGCATGCCCGCACATGACCCTGCATGCCCGCACATGACCCTGCATGCCCGCACATGACCCTGCATGCCCACACATGACCCTGCATGCCCACACATGACCCTGCATGCCCGCACATGACCCTGCATGCCCACACATGACCCTGCATGCCCGCACATGACCCTGCATGCCCGCACATGACCCTGCATGCCCACACATGACCCTGCATGCCCACACATGACCCTGCATGCCCACACATGACCCTGCATGCCCACACATGACCCTGCATGCCCACACATGACCCTGCATGCCCACACATGACCCTGCATGCCCACACATGACCCTGCATGCCCGCACATGACCCTGCATGCCCACACATGCATGGTTCAGAGTAGTGTCTCGCTCCGGCCCGCCAGACCCCTCCTTTTGAGGCGCCTCAAAAGACCCCTCCGTGAGCCCTCTCTGTCGCCCCACAGCACCCAGCTCATCGATAAACACCACCGACGGTGCATTCTCCCTACTCTTCCCTGGTTATCCCACATGCTCTCACACACACCGGAAACAGCATCCAACCTGTTTTGCTTCCCTCCTCACCTGGTTCAACGTGGCGTCTCTCTCCTGCCCGCCAGACCCCTCAGTGAGCCCTCTCTGTCGTCCCACAGCGTCCAGCTCATCAATGAACACCACCGACGGCGCGTTCTCCCTGGCCTCGTTGTACAGCGCGCGCACGCGGCTGGCCCCCACGCCCACGAAGATCTCCACGAACTGACTCGCCGACACCGAGAAGAAGCTCACTCCCGCCTCGCCTGCCACCGCCTTGGCCAGCAAAGTTTTCCCGCTGCCCGGCTCGCCGCACAGCAGGATGCCCGAAGGGATCTTGGAGCCGCGGCGGCGGTACTTCTCCGCGGACTGGAAGAATTCCACCACCTCCTCCAGCTCTCGCCTGATTTCACCCAACCCAGCTACATCGGAGAATTTCACCTCTGCGCTCAGGTCCAGGTAGGTGGGGCGACGCGTGCGCTGGGATGGGAAGGGCAAGGATGGACGGAACGGAGGGGTTGGGGGAGAGAGAGGAAGGGAGAAAAAGAGGATCTTGGAGCCGCGGCGGCGGTACTTCTCGGCGGACTGGAAGAATTCCACCACCTCCTCTACCTCACGCTAAGTCCTCAGTGGATCTCACCGAGTTGGTAAATGCGTAAGCAGTCTCTTTGCTTCCACTCACCTTGCCCCTCTCCCCCCACTCATGTTACTCCCAACCACCCCTCCTTCTCACCTTGCCCCTCTCCCCCCACTCATGTTACTCCCAACCACCCCTCCTTCTCACCTTGCCCCTCTCCCCCCACTCATGTTACTCCCAACCACCCCTCCTTCTCACCTTGCCCCTCTCCCCCCACTCATGTTACTCCCAACCACCCCTCCTTCTCACCTCGCCCCTCTCCCCCCACTCATGTTACTCCCAACCCCCCCTCCTTCTCACCTTGCCCTTGCGTGCGCGCCGAACTTTAGCTCCGGACCGCATGAACCGCATGCCGGCCAGAATGGCCTGGTTCTTCTCCTCCTCCACCTTCCCCTCCCCCTCGCCCTCGCCCTTCCCCTCACCCTTCCCATCCTCCGCCTCCTTCCCATCCTTCCCCTTCGCAACCACCACCCCGGCCTTCTTCCCTCCCTTCTTCTCCCTCTCTTTCTCCTTCTCCGCCTCCTCCTCCTCCCTCGCTTCCATCTCCTCCATATCCTCCTCCCACCCCTCCATCTTCCTCCTCTCCTCTTCCGCCGCCCGCTCCAACTTGATCCGATCCTCGTAATCCTTCCTCTTCTTCTTCACATTCACAATAATCCCAAAGTAGAAAAAGACAAAGAACGCCGCCCCGATCAGGAACCGCACGCCCTCGTTATTAGCCGCCTGCTTGTAGAACGAACCCCAGCGCTCCTGACTGGCCACCTGAGCCACTAGCTTCTTTCTCCTCGCCTCCACATTCTTCTCCTCTGCTCCCCGTTTTTTCGCTTTCGCACCGCCCCCTCTCTGCTCCTGCTCCTCCTGCTTCTGCTGCTCCCTCTCCTCCCTCTCCGCCCTCCTCCTCTCCTCCCTTTCCATCCGAATCCTCTCCTCTCTTTGCCTCTTCAGCTCTCTTTCCTTCTCCACCCTCCTCCTCTCCGTCTCCTTCCTCTCTTCTGCAAGCCTCCTCACCCGCTCCTTCATAGCAGCTTCCGCTTTCTGCTTAGCAGTCAACGGCTTCCCTTTCCCCTTCCCCGCACTCTCCCCCGCCCCCTCCGCTCCCCCCTTCCCCTTCCCCCCAACCCCCTCCCGCCGGCCCTCCCCTCCCCCCACCCACCCCCAGTCCTGCAGAAACTTCAAGGAAGGACCCCAGAGCCCCCACGGCTGCATGACGGGCGGCGCGGGCGGCGGCGAGAAGGCGTTGATGGTGAGCGAATCTAGGCTGAGATCCTTCCATGCCGCCCAGAAGGAGGGGTCGCGGTCGAGGGGCGGCAGCATGCAGCGCACCACACGGTCGTCCTTGAGCACCAGGAACACTCGCTCGGGCTCCGACTGGTGAGGGGGAGTGAGTGTGGGGTGGAAGGGGGGTTGGAAGGGGGTGGAGGAGGTGGTTAGATTGGGTGCGAGCAGGCAGCATGCAGCGCACCACGCGGTCGTCCTTGAGCACCAGAAACACTCGCTCTGGCTCCGACTGGGTAAAGGGAAGAAGAGGGAAAGGAGTGGGGGAGGGGGCAGGACAGAGGGGGGGGTTGAGAGGGAGTGTGAAGAGCGCAGGATATACATGCCGTGGTCTCATCGGCGCGCTTCATTACCCCACGCACCTGGAGCGACGACTGAGGGTGCTTGATGATGTGTTTCAGCTCATTGGACTTTTTCAGCGCCACCACCTGCGAGTACGGCACGCGCTCCTGCACCACGGGCAGTCCGCGCGCCCACGCCTCGCGCTCCTCCACCTCCATCGTCGCTGCCTCCCGCCCCCCCTTGCGCTCCCGCCCGGACTTCTTCCCCTTGCGCTTCCCCCCCGCCGCTGCTCCGCCTGCGCCGGCCGCTGCGCCTGCCGCCGCGGATGTTCCTCCGGCTGCTACCGTGCCTTCCGCTGCAGCAGCTGCGGTCGTTGCGGCTTCCGCCCCTACAACCTCAGAAGCTGCTGCCGCCGCGTTTGCCACGGATGCTGCTGCATCCGAACCGCTAGCTGCAGACGGCACTGGTGATGCTGCTGGGGGTGCTACAGCCGGTGCTGCAGCCGGTGCTACAGCCGGTGCTGCTGCCGTTTTTGACGGGGCTTTCAGCACCGCAGAAGCGGCGTGAGCTGGCAGCGACGCCGCCAGCTGTGCACCAACCATCGCCATACACGTGGCAGCTAGCAATACGCTGGATAGAGGGAATGATGATTCCGATGAACCTTTAACATTCCGGCTGCTGTTGCTGATTTCCCGTTCACTATCCGCGTCGCTCACATTTCCTGCCTGATCCACGTGTACGGGGAATGCTGACTCAGACGCGCTACGCCGTACCCTAAACCTCGTCGATCTCACTCCAATCCCTGCGCTGCGCACGCCACGTGGCAAAGAACTATCGGACGGACACGACCGTGTCCACGTGGAGGAGCTGCCAGCGTGGCATGGCCTGGTAACGAACGGCGACGATGAAATCCGGGATCGTAGATTCCCTCGGCCCTGCTCATGCTTATGCGGCACGGATGCAGGGATAACGGCGCCGATCGCGCTCACAGGTCGGACACCCGACGCAGCGGCGACGAGCCCATTCGACCATTGAGGATTCGAGACGGCATTGCGACAGGATGCCTGGCTGACAGTTGACGCAATGGATTGATGCGTAGGCGACAGAGACGGGAATCGGGTTGCGCGGGAACTCTGGCTGATCGCGCACCTGTCCATGATGACGCGACCAGGCGACGGCGCGAAGGATCCTACAGGCTACAGGAGCGGGTGATGGCGAGCAGCTTATTTCTCAAGCTACGTTGCCATGGATGTGCGAGTGCATCAATAGCGATTTCCACAATCGGCCAAGCTTCACTCGCGCGAGCCGGAGCAGAATTATGTCCGACGCTCGACGCTACGCAATCAGCGGTAGGATCGACGTGGCGGCATCAGCGATGCTGCTCTTTTCTCGTCGTAACGCCGTGCTGCGGAGACGGCGCGAAATGCGGACGGGAAAAGGGGAGGGATGAAGAGAAAGTGGGAGGAAGCGGTAGGCGCCTTGGGATTGGATTGTGGCGATTCTGCGCGCTGATTGGCTGCTGGGGGATTGGGTTGGGCTGCGGAAATGGTTGGTTGGTTGGTCACAGGTCAGCACGGGAGTGGTCTTCAGTTGAAGGACGATACTGTGGCGTGGTATGATGTGCTTCCGTGTGTTTTGGTGCGATTTGGTGTGGTGAACTTTGGATCCCTAGTGCTAACACAAGATAACAAACTGCTGCCTAAATAATTAAATAGAAGGAATGCAGGTCGAATCAAAGACAATACCGAGGCTGTCCATATAGCTTGCCGTCCATTCTAAGGTGGTATGCAGCTCGTACGGCTCTTGTACCTTTTTTGCGGTCTCATGCGTTCGTCGTGTAATAGTCGGTAAACGGAAAAACCGCTCTCCACTGTGTGGAACCGTTCCGAGCCACGAAGCATGAACTGTAAATGTACGACCCGGATACCCCCTAACCAATTACAAATCCGATAGCAAGCAGCAGCAGCTACGCATGGGTCACGCTCGCAACGTCCGTCCTTCCCGTCCTCCATATGGGGCACTCCGTTTTCACCACTGAACGCGATTCCCTCTCTTCCGTTCTGCTCGGCCTTCTCCCTAGCAATGTCCGTCGAAGCGTGTCCCTTCAGTCCTCCTACCCGCTATCAGCGGCCGGCATTCCGCGGCCCCCCTCTGCCGGCTCCATCCTCCCCCCTCCCCGCGTTCTCCGCTGCAACAGGATCCTCCGACGGCTGCGATCGTCGCTGCGGTTCTGGCTGCAATCGTGGCCGTTCTCGTTCACGCCCGTCAAGTCGTCTCTCTCACTCTCACGCCAGCCTTCCTTTGATCGGCGACGAACCGCCGGCCTCTTCCCCCTCTTCCCCCGCTTCTCCCGCTTCTCCTGCCTGCGGAGGTCCCACCCGCTGCTAGCGCTGCTGCTGCTGCTAGCGGCCGCGCTAGTCAGCCTGTGGGATGTAGAATTCGTGGTGGAGATCGGTGACGATCGCACGCGCGCTGCCTCAAGCACGATAGGAGGGGACCATCTGAGGAGGAGAGAAAGAGAAAGCTGGGGAGCAGAGGAAATCTTAGCACAGGAAAGCTTACGTCATTCGACGTTATGGTCGTCAGCGAGATCGTCCCAGGGGTCACAGACTTCCCCGTTATTACAATCCTCGTTACTGTACCCGTCGCTGCGTCTGGATGAGGGGAATCGCGCGGCGCCGATGCGAGGCAGGCTCCTGGGCCTCGCAGCACAATCGCTGGTGGCGGTGAGCGTGCGGGGGGAGAGGGGGGAGGGGGGGAAGTGGGTGGTTGCTTGCGAAGGGTGGGAAGGGAAGCTCCCAGAGGCGCAGCAGTGACAATCACGTGCGTCTACTCAACACGCGCTTCCTCTTCCCTACAGACGCCCCCACATAGGTTGCGAGCCCTCAGAGGTGCCTTCTTCCCCATCAGAAGCAGTGACAGCCCGACCCACGTCATTGTGGACTGTTCATAATATCCCACACTCAAATCTCCTCAATTTCCCCTCAAAGTCCCCCCCTTTCCCCTCCTCCCGCACCCCTTCTTCCCCCTTCATCCCCTATCAGAAGCAGTGGCATGGCAACCAGGGTCACCTGGCCTGTGTGGGGAAACGTCCAGCCAGGGCACACCAGTGACAATCCTGTATTTCCACTCAAGATCTTCCTTTCCCCGCTTTCCCTCCCTTCCACCCGCGCTCTCACGCTCCCTCCATTTCCCCCCTTTTCCGCGGCATCCCATCCCATTAGAAGCAGTGGCAGCGCGAGCCGCGATAACTGTGGGAGTAGCCCCCAGAGGCGCACCAGTGGCAATGACCACTCCCCCAGAGGCGCACCAGTGGCAATGAACACTCCCCCAGAGGCGCACCAGTGGCAATGAACACTCCCCCAGAGGCGCACCAGTGGCAATGAACACTCCCCCAGAGGCGCACCAGTGGCAATGAACACTCCCCCAGAGGCGCACCAGTGGCAATGAACACTCCCCCAGAGGCGCACCAGTGGCAATGAACACTCCCCCAGAGGCGCACCAGTGGCAATGAACACTCCCCCAGAGGCGCACCAGTGGCAATGAACACTCCCCCAGAGGCGCACCAGTGGCAATGAACACTCCCCCAGAGGCGCACCAGTGGCAATGAACACTCCCCCAGAGGCGCACCAGTGGCAATGAACACTCCCCCAGAGGCGCACCAGTGGCAATGAACACTCCCCCAGAGGCGCACCAGTGGCAATGAACACTCCCCCAGAGGCGCACCAGTGGCAATGAACACTCCCCCAGAGGCGCACCAGTGGCAATGAACACTCCCCCAGAGGCGCACCAGTGGCAATGAACACTCCCCCAGAGGCGCACCAGTGGCAATGAACACTCCCCCAGAGGCGCACCAGTGGCAATGAACACTCCCCCAGAGGCGCACCAGTGGCAATGAACACTCCCCCAGAGGCGCACCTGTGGCAATGAACACTCCCCCAGAGGCGCACCAGTGGCAATGAACACTCCCCCAGAGGCGCACCAGTGGCAATGAACACTCCCCCTCTTCACCCCTCACTCCCTCTGTTTCCCCGTTTCTCCCACCAAACCCCGTTCCGCCCCATCAGAAGCAGTGGCAGCGCAAGCCGCCAGACCCGTGGGAGAAGCCTCCAGAGGCGCTGCAGTGGCGCCCATGCGCCCTTGACCACCCTGCGCCCTTGACCACCCTGCGCCCTTGACCACCCTGCACTCTCTGCACCTGCCGATAGTGCTGCCGCCGCTGCTCACTCTGCCGGCCTTTCACTGAGGAAACGGCGCTGCTGGCGCTGCAGCTGCCACTCACCCACCATTGCCCCTTTTTCCCCCCTCCCCATCCCCCTCCCCAAAAGCAGTGGTAGTGCGAGCCACCATACCTGTGGTGTGGGAGGAGGCCCCAGAGGTGGAGCAGTGGCGTGCAGTCCTGTGCTCCTAGGTGACTTTTGAGTCGACTCAAAAGCCACCTTTGAGGTGGAGCAGTGGCGTGCAGTCCTGTGCTCCTACTCACAATTCCCTCTTCTTCCCTCTCTCCCTCCACTTTCCCCCATCCCCCATCCCCCGTCCCCCCTCCCCCCTCCCCAGAAGCAATGGCAGCGCGAGCCACCAGACCTGTGGGAGGAGCCCCCAGAGGCGCTGCAGTGGCGCCCATGCGCCCTTGCCGACTCTTCTCTCTCTGCTCCCGCCGCTTCTGCTGCCACTCACTCTGCCAGCCATATACCGAGGAGAGGCGCTGGTAGTGATGGCGCCGCTGCTGCTGGCGGCGGCAGCAGGAGCAGCAATGGCGACAGCAGCAGCGGGGGAAGGGCGGATGCGGGTCCGTTCTTCTCTGTGGCAGCAAAGGGTGGTCTCAGCCAGCTCAGAGTCGCGGTCAGTTGCCTGCCTGCCTGCCTGCCTGCCTCTGTGCGTCTGGGGAAGGGAAGGGAGTAGCAGGGTGTTTTGGGGAACTCTCAAAACACCCTGGAAGGGAGGGAGGATGCGGTTCCGCTCTTCTCCGTAGCAGCCATGGGCAGCCTCAGTGATGCAGTCAGCTTTGCCACATGGAAGAGGGATCAATAGGGCGGAGGGAGGAAGGAGGAAGGAAGGAGGTGGGAAACAGGTGGGAAGTTGCGCGATGCATGCATGTGCACACATGTGCCTGACTAGCATGGGTACATGTGCGTGGTAGGGTACATGTGCATGGTAGGGTACATGTGCGTGGTAGGGTATATGTGCATGGTAGGGTATATGTGCATGGTAGGGTACATGTGCATGGTAGGGTATATGTGCATGGTAGGGTACATGTGCATGGTAGGGTATATGTGCATGGTAGGGTACATGTGCATGGTAGGGTACATGTGCATGGTAGGGTACATGTGCATGGTAGGGTACATGTGCATGGTAGGGTACATGTGCATGGGATCCAACCCTTGGGAGTGCGTGCATACATGTGCACACACACATGTACCGAACCTTCACAGTGTGAGTGAACCCAATGCCCGCTTGTCTCCCATCGTCCCCATTTACTCACCCACCCCCCCCTCCCCCCCCCTTCCCCTCCTCGGTTCATTCCCTGCCGCCATGTCATCTGCTCATCAAGTTGTGAATCTCTCCTTGTTTGAATATCGTTTGGGTTGAAAGATGCACTTTTCCTCTCAATCTTCGTCCCACTCTTTTTCTCGCTCTTACTACTACTTTTTTGTTCCTTTGTGCAGCAGCGGCGGAGTGCTACCTCAACGCCACACTCCTCCCCTCTCTCCCCTCCTTCCCTCGTCCCTTTTCCCCCTTTCTGACCGCCCACACCCCATCGCCCCTCCCATCCGCACCTGTCTCCCAGACATGCAATGCAGCAGCGGTCGCGTTGTACCTCAACGCCACGCTCCTCCTCCCGCGCTTCCTCTCTTTCTCCTCAGCCAGGTGAACCACCTCCCAGTCCAAGTGTTTTCAGATTCGACTCAAAACAAACTTCTCCTACTGAGTTTTAGGACATCCTATAACTTTTGGGGCATCCTAAAACTTTTGGGACATCATAAAACTTTTGCGACTCCTAAAACTTTTGGGGCATCTTGAAACTTTGGGACATCCTAAAACTTTTGGGACATCCTAAAACGTTAGGGGCAGGTGAACCTTTTCCCACTCCCGGTATGTTGTGAGTGGTATATCATGAACCCTAATCTCGAAATACACCGTCCCCCCCCACGCTTCCTCTCCTTCCCCTCAGCCTAGTGATCCACCTCCCACTCCCACATTGTGCACACAAGCAATCGTATCGTACACACAAGAGTGTAAAACCACTCTTGAATTCCGTTGCTCAACCGTTGGCTCCACACACGTCAGTGCGACCCTTCCACCGTACAAGGGCTTCAGCTCTACCACATGGGCCCACGTTGGCCCACGTGCAGCCCTTCAGCCACATGTTCTTCCCCACGTGGGCCCACCTTCTTCCCCACGTGGGCCCACCTTCTTCCCCACGTGGGCCCACCTTCTTCCCCACGTGGGCCCACCTTCTTCCCCACGTGGGCCCACCTTCTTCCCCCAACGTCAACCTCTTTTGATGACTTTCCCTCTCCTGCACAGCTCTTCCATATCATTTCCGCACCTGCTTGTGATTAGAGATTATATGTTTGTGTCTTGTGCGGTTGTGGTTCCATGAGTGGGTGGGTGAATCGGCGTGGGTGGGTGAATCGGCGTGTGTGTGTGTGGGTGTGGGTGTGTGTGGGTGAGTGTGTGTCGTGCACGCACTTGCATGCATGTGCATTTTGTGCATGAGTGCATGTGTATAGGACATTGGCGGCCTTGCATGTGGTGTGTGTGGGAAGAGATGAGGGTAGTACGGGAGAGAGTGTGATGCGATGGGGGTGTCATGGGGTGGGGAGTGTGATGGGGATTGCGAGTGTGTGGGGATGGGAGTGTGAGAACGGGTGTTCGTGCGAGGGGAGCATGTGATTCAGCCAGTTCGGGCAGGTATTTGACTCGGATAACTTTCATCTCATCATTCTCTGCTTGCCTGTCTTGTGCTTGCCTCTCTTGTGCTTGCCTCTCTTGTGCTTGCCTCTCTTGTGCTTGCCTCTCGTGTGCTTGCCTCTCGTGTGCTTGCCTCTCGTGTGCTTGCCTCTCGTGTGCTTGCCTCTCTTGTGCTTGCCTCTCGTGTGCTTGCCTCTCTTGTGCTTGCCTGTCTTGTGCTTGCTTGCATGCATGGGACTGTATGCGGGTGGGGGAGGGGGGGTTGTGTGTGCGTGCGAGGGGAGGGCGCCATTCAGCCAGTTCGGGGAGGTATTCGACTCGGATCACTTCATCTCATCGCTTGCGCCTCAAGTCAAGGTCATCAGGAAGCTTCCGCCCTCCTTCCAGTCTCTCAATGTCAACATCATGGGAGTCAACGTGAGTTATCCTTCTTGTTGGAAGTCAGCGTGAGTCGTTCTTGTTGTTGGGAGTCAACGTGAGTCATCCTTGTTGTTGGGAGTCAACGTGAGTCATCCTTGTTGTTGGGAGTCAACGTGAGTCATCCTTGTTGTTGAGAGTCAACGTGAGTCATCCTTGTTGTTGTTGTTGTGAGTCAACACAGGACGGAAACAGCAATCCTACTGTTCTCTTTGCAATGTCGGTGTCCTACTCCAGTGTCAGAGTAGGAGTAGCTTCGTGGGTTGCGTGTTCATTTGGCTCCTTTGCATGATTTGCCTGATGTGGCTGCTGTGCCAGTTGTGCCTACTATGGCTGCTGTGCCAGTTGGGGTTCCTAGGGCTGGTCTGGCTGCTTTGGCTCCTTTGCTTGATTTGCCTGATGTGGCTGCTGTGGCTGCTGTGCCTATTGTGGCTGTTGTGGCAGTTGGGGTTGCTAGGGCGCTCTGGAAGTAGGTATTGGAGAAGCAGTTCCCCCCCAAGAGGCGCCACTGTAGCTCTTCCTGCGCTTGTTGAGGCGCCCAAAAACACCTCAAACGGTCCTTTGTATTGGTTCACGCGAGGTACGAAACTTGCAAATTCATCTGGTAATAGCCTTACTCTCTCTCTTCCTTGTACCTCGTCCTCCTCTTCCCCCCCCCATTCTTTCCTCCCCTGCAAGCAGGTATCTGAGAAGCAGTTCCCCCGGGAAGTGCCATTGCAGCTCTTTCTGCGCCTGGTGCCGCTGATGAGGCGCGTGGGGCTCCTCCACTTCCACGGCTTCCTCAACGCCCTCGCCTCCGACCCCATGCCGCTGCATGTTCAGGTGCGCTCAGCACCACACTGCACCGCACAGTGTGTTGTGAAATGCTGCAAGGCACCTGCGCCGCACAGCACCGTGTGCCACTGATGAGGCGGGCGGGGGCTCCTCCACTTGAGTCTTCAATGGCTTCCTCAACGCCCTCGCCTCAGACCCCATGCCACCACACGTGTAGGTTTGTTGCAGCACGCTCGGCACTGCACTGCTGCTCTCCTACACATAGCACTGCACTGCTGCTCTGCTACACATAGCACTGCACCACATGACGTGTTTTGAGACGTCTAGAAACACCGCTCTGCTTCACATCACTACGCACTGCACCCCTCTGCACCGCACCATGTGTCGCTGATGATAAGTGGGTGTGCTCGCTGCACTTCCAGTGCTTCCTCACCAGCCTCGCCTCACATGCCTTGCCTCTCCACATTCAGGTAAGTGATTTCACCGCACCACATTGCCCCACATTGCACCACACTGCACCATACTACACCACAGTTCACCACAGCTCACTCCCATGGCTTCCTCACCCATTGCACCTTCGAACCCCATGCTTCCGGCTGTGCTAAAAACACACACAATTCACGCTATGTTGCATTGGACCACACCTTGCCGCATTGGACCGCACCATGCCGCATTGGACCACACCATGCTGCACTGGTCTCTGCTGCTTACATTTCACCTCCCCCCCGTAAATTGCTCCTCTCTACGCTTCTCTTTTCCCTCACTTCCACTCCACCCAAAATCTTAATTCACCCATCTCATCTCATCTCCTCCTGCTAGTTCGTTTCCTACTATCCGTCTTCTCTCCCTCACACCCTCACCTCTTCCCGCCCCCACTCCCCTCGCCCTCCTTCCATCCCATCCCATCTCCCCTCTGACAGCGCCTGCGCTGTCGATGCATGTTCCACGCCCTCACCTTCCTGCCAGCCGTCCATGCCACCGCACAGCTGGCCATCCAACGGCTACGATCAGCCGCTGGGGTGCTGCCACGTGTGCAAGAGCAGTGGATGGATGGCGAGGATGAAGCAGGGAATCGCGGTGCTGGGAATGGGGAAAATCAGGGCAAAAAATATGAAAGAGAAAAGATGGAAGGCCAGGTTGAGAGTCAGGTGAGAGCTCAGGTGAAAGGTCAGGTGAATGACACATCTGGGCAAGTGCAGTCAGACATAGGCCATGTGGGCCCTCGAGAGCCAGAGCCCCCAGCAGGCATCCCTCGCTACGTGGCGGCTCACATCCCCTTTGACGCCGTCTCAGCCGCCTACTCCCTCTGCTCCTTCACCGCTCGCCACCACCACAACGACTACCACAACCAAACCCAAGACCAGAACCAACACGACAATCAGTACGAGCAGCAGGGCCAGGGCCAAGAGCGGGACGAGGCGGAGGAGGAGTTGGAGGAGGTGAGGGACATCCGGCGCCTGCTGTTCCCCGTGCTGCACGCGTACGAGCAGCAGGGCCGCCTCAACGCCCCCGACTGGTACCGCCGCATCGGCCGCTGCCCCGTCGCCCCTGAGGAGGCGGCGCTGGTGCTGGCCGGCATGGGCGTGGGGAGAATGCGCCCGCTGTTCCTCGTAGGGGTGTCCGCTGAGCCGTGCAGGCTGGTGCTTGGGGGTGAATCGGTGCTGAGCGGTGGGGATGGTGGGATGCAGGGTGGGAGGGAGGAAGAGTGGCGGGAGGAGGAGGGGTGGCGAGGGGCTGCGTGGGAGCAGGAGGAGCAGGAGGGGCGGATGAGGGCGCAGCAGGAGCAGCAGCTGAGGGGGCCGGGCAGGCGGTGGTTCAACGGGTGCCGGCGGTTGGAGGCAGTGCGAGCGCTCTTCCCCTTCCTCTTGTCCATCGATACCCTCCTCTCCCCTCTCGAGATCGCCCCCTACTCCCACTCGCCTCTCCTAGTGAGTTACTTTCATTCCATTCACCATTCACCACACACCATGCACTTGCATCTCCCATCACCATTCATCCCACACACTCGCTCACCATGATCCCTCACACTCACCATCATCCCTCACACTCACCATCATCCCTCATGCTCATCTCTTTGCTGCTACTTCTCCCTCGTCCAGATCACCGCCCTTGAAACCATTGTGGCCAGCGAATCAGATCTCTTCCTTGCCGCGGACGGCAGCAGCCAGCTGGCAGCGCTCGTGGCCGGGCGGCGCATGTACTTCGGATCCAGATCTGACAAAAAATCTGGTTACCAGCATGGTTACAGGCCGTCTGTGCGTATCAACCGCGCACAGCTGGCGGAGGATCTGGGCGGCGGGAAAGATTTGCGGGCGGGGGAAGAGTGGATTGGGGATGCGGAGGAGAGGATAATGGAGTGGGAGGAGGTGGAGGAGCGGGTGAGGGCGATGGTGGGGGAGAGCAAGAGTGTGAGGAAGCGGAGGGTGTCTCGGAGTGTGTACAGGCATCCTCGCGACGAGGCATGCATGTGCTTTGGGGAGGGGGGGAAGAGAGGCGAGGAGGTGGGGAGTGAGGAGTGGGGAGGTACTGGAGAAGAGAGGGGAAGGAAGAAGAAGCTGCAAGGGAGGGAGGTGAGGGGAGGGGGGTTAGGCAGGGCAGATGTGGGAAGAAGTGGTGATACTGGGTCTGGCAAGGGGTTGGATGATGGAGGGAGGTGGGAAGAGAAGGGGGAAATAAGGGCAAAGAGGAGAGTGGGTAAGGATGGGGGAAGCAATGGGCCTGCCAAGAGGCAAAGGCTTCGAGGTGTGGTTGGGGGACGAGGGGTGAGTGTTGGTGTGGATGATGATGATGAGGAGGATGAAGGGGAGGATGGGGTTGAGTCTGGTGAAAGCAACATGGATAGGGATGAAGAGGAAAGGGAAGTGGAAAGGACAATAAGGTTGGACGAGAAGAGTATGGCAAAAATAGAAGAGGAAACACAAGTGCGCGAGAAAGAGATGCGAGAAAGAGAAGTTTCAGATCTTCTACTCATTAATGCGCGTGAGGGAACGCAAGGAATTAGCAACTCGAGCTTGTGGAAAGATCCGGATATTATGCATGTGTGATAGGGTGTTCGAAATTTGTATAATGCTAGTGCTGTTCATATATTCTGACTTTCACACCGACGTTGTTACGTCGTCTGCCAATTTTACGACTCGCTGGATATGGATAATGCTGACGCGTAAAAGCGGAAGGAAAGCGATTGGGGTTCGCAATCTGTCAATTAACCATAGCGAATGTGCTTCCCTCTTTACGCATTTCTCACGATTATAAAAATTCCTCGCCCGTCTTCGCTCGCGCAGTCCCACCCTCTCGTCGCACTTCGCCACTTCCCTCAATCTCGTCGCGCGCGGCCCCAGTTTCCATTCACCCTCCCCCGCCCACTTGCAGACTCTCCCTCCCACTTCACTTGCTTTTCTTCTGACATTCCCCGCTCTCCCCCCACAACCCGTCCCTCTCTTTCTCTCCCCCCCCCCCCCCTCCCCAAGCCTTTCCGCGCCACCTCGTTCCTCTCCAGCTCCTTGGGAGATCCGTTGAGCTGATCAAGTTGGACAGTTTGCCCAACTGATCCTCCTAATCCTCTTTCTGAAGGCTTCGGATTGATCCTCCCCGTCTAGTTTTCGCATTCCTTCATCTCGCGTCGCTCGTGCTTGAGAGGAGCGGCCATGACGTCATTGTCGACCGCGGGGGTCGGCGTCGGTCAGAGTGCCTCCTCGTTCGTCGCAGGGAGCAAGAGTCTCTCGTGCGGCCGAAAGCAGCCAGCAGCGAGCGTTGCTTTCGCGGGTAATTGGCTAAACAAAGCAAAGTACATATATATAACACCTTTTTTTCACATTGAGAGTTAAGTATCACCATTGAACTCTTCAAATGATTTTCAACATGATTAAAACGCTAATAATCAACGCGTTCACATATTATGAAATTTGTAGACTGGTATTGCTTCCCATTCTAGAATTTTTGTTGTTTCACACCACCGCGTGTGAGGCCTCTGAACGGCGATGGTAGCGCACGCACGTTAAATGCGGCTGGTTCGACCACTCGATACAATCTTAAACTGATTTTTCCAATATTTTACGCTGCTTTTGGCGCTGTGCGTGAATGCAGGCAAGCAGCGGCACGTTGCTCCCATCAGAGCTGCTTCGTCCGGGTCCGGCGGAAATGGCGACTCTAATAAGGAGAAGCCCGCAATGCAGGTACATCCCCCCTCCATGCGCTTTGCTCCACATCCCCCTCCGTTCCCAATGCTCTCGCTCTCACGGCCCTGTTCAGACTTCATGCGAATGGCTTCATTCTCCCCGTTCTTGCCTCCCTCCCCTCGGAGCCTGTACGACTTTGGCAGCAACCTGCTCACCCTCATGCTGAGGGATTTTTTAGGCGCCTCAAGGATGAGGGTGAGGCGGCCTCAAGGACCTTCTTGCCTCCCTCCCCTCGGAGCCTGTACGACTCTGGCAGCAATCTGGTCACCCGCGTGCTGAGCGGCGGCGACATGTTGGGCATGCCCACAACCTCGTGCGATGTGTGCGATGTGTCGTTTGCAACATCTCAAAAGCCGCCCACCTCTCCCTCCGCTCCCATCAATGCATGTACGACTCGGCAGCATGCTGACGCGCGTGCTGAGCGGCGGCGACATGTCGAGCTTGCCTACCGTCTCGGCCCAGGTGTCTCTCCAACGTTTCAAGCCCCCCTCTCTCCTCCACCACCCCCCGCCTCTCTTACCTCCCTCCCTTCAGAGCCTGTACGACCTGGGCAGCAATCTGCTCACGCGCGTGCTGAGCGGCGGCGACATGTCGGGCATGCCCACAGCGTCTGGCGAGGTGTCGGACCTCGTCGGCCGCCCGCTCTTCTTCGCCCTCCACAACTGGTTCCTCGAGGTGAGCACTTCCCGCTCCCTGCTCTCTGCTTTTTGCTCCCTCCCTGCACTAGTCCGCGCTCTCCCCTCCCTGCACTAGTCCGCGCTCTCCCCTCCCTGCACTAGTCCGCGCTCTCCCCTCCCTGCACTAGTCCGCGCTCTCCCCTCCCTGCACTAGTCCGCGCTCTCCCCTCCCTGCACTAGTCCGCGCTCTCCCCTCCCTGCACTAGTCCGCGCTCTCCCCTCTCTGCTCCCTGCTCCCCGCTCTCTGCTTTTTGCTCCTTTTCCTGTCCCTCGTGTGCAGCTAAGTCCCGCGTCCCGTCTAGTAGACAAAGACTTATTTATCGAGTCGACTCAAAACGTTCCTTCTTCATCCTCCCCTTCCCCCTCGCTCGCATGCAACTAGGAGGCGTGCATCGTCTCGCCTTGGGCGACAAATAACGACGTTGATTAAAGATCTCCCTTTCATCCCCCCTCCCCCATTTTTTCGCCTTCCACTCCCCCTATTCCCCCTTTCCCCGTCCCGCGCGTGCAGCTAGGAGGCGTGTACCGTCTCGCCTTCGGCCCCAAGGCCTTCGTGGTCATCTCTGACCCAGTCGTTGCGCGCCACGTGCTCAAAGAGAACCCCTTCGCCTATGACAAGGTACGCCTCTGACTCGTCGGATGAGATTATACCGATTGATACCGCACCGCACCGCTCAACAGCTGGTGCATCCCGCCCAACACTGCTCTTTATTCCCGTGCATTCCCCTCGCCGCTGTCCCCCCTTGCTTCCTTCCCCACGTCACGGCACAGGCAGAGCTGCTACAGCCCATCATGCCTTTTCAGTCGACTCAATGCCCGATCCTGTACTGCCCAGCACTGCTCTTTACCGCCCTGTATCCTCCATCCCTGCTCCCCTCCCCTCCCCTACCCAACCATCCTGACTCCCCCGTGCTCCCCTCCCCTCCTTCCGCGCAGGGCATGCTGGCGGAGCTGCTGGAGCCCATCATGGGCAAGGGGCTCATTCCCGCTGACTTTGACACGTGGAAGCAGCGCAGACGAGGTGAGCGGTGGAGAGGGGTGAGGAGGGTGCATGGGGTGAGGGATTGTTAGTGGAGAAGCGGGAGGAAAGGGGTGATGGGCCCATCATGGGTAAGGGGCTCATCCCCGCTCACTTGGACACGTGAAGCAGCGCAGGAGGGGTGAGGGATGGTGAGCGGTGGGGAGGGTGGGTGGTGCTCTGCGACCAGGGCTGAGGGCAGAGGGCTGATGCTCACGGCGGTGCCGATGATGTCCAAGCTGCAAGCGCTCTGCGACCAGGGCGGGGCTGATGCTCAGGGCGTGCGCATGGACATGGAATCGGGGTATTCGTCCATAGCGCTGGACATTATTCGCATCTCCGTGTTCAACTATGACTTGCCGCTTCGCCCCTCTCCCTGCCGCTTCCCCCTCCCTACCCATCCCTGGCACCCCCGTACCCCCCAGCCATCGTGCCGGGCTTCCATGCAGCATATCTGGAGGCCATGGCGCTGGTGTTCTCAGAGTGCTCCAAGCGATCGGTGGACAAGCTGCAAGCGCTCTGCGACCAGGCTGGAGCCGCCGCGGGGGGTGAGGGCGTGCGCATGGACATGGAGTCGGAGTATTCGTCCATAGCGCTGGACATCATTGGCATCTCCGTGTTCAACTATGACTTTGGGTCCGTGACGCGCGAGTCGCCCGTCATCAAGGCCGTGTATGGGACACTGTCGGAGGCCGAGCACCGCGCTACGTTCTACATCCCCTACTGGAACATCCCCTTTATAAGGTCCGTTGGTGTTCCCTAGAACATCCCCTTTATAAGGTCCATTGGTGTTCCTTGGAACATCCCCTTCATAAGGTCGGTGGGTGGGTGTATGGGTGAATGTGAGCATCCCATGGTGATTAACAGCTGCTGTATTCCAATTTCTGAGCCAGCAACAATAAATTTTCCTTTCCTCTTTTCCACCCCCTCCTCCCCACCCACCATCAGCCTGGTGGTACCGCGGCAGATGAAGTTCCAGCTGGGCCTCAAGGTCATCAACGACTGCCACCCTCTCTTACCCTTTCACCACCTCTCGCCCCCCACCCGCCCCCTCCCTTCCTCACCCCTCGCACCCCACCAGCCTGGTGGTGCCGCGGCAGATGAAGTTCCAGCAGGACCTCAAGGTGATCAACGACTGCCTCGACGACCTCATCACCCGCGCCCGCGCCACCCGCCAGGTGAGCCCAGGGGAGCGAGCAGGGCAGTGAGCACCGGCCTAACCCACGCGGCAGTCGTTGATGAGGTGCGGTGCGGGAGTAAGAGAGGTGAGCGCCACGCTGCTGCAATCTGAGCCAGCAGGACCTCAAGGTGATCATCCCTAGACTGCCTGCACCACCTCCTCACCCGCGCCCGCACCACCCGCCAGGTGGGTGGGTTGCACACGCTGCGGGGAAGAAGGGAGTAGGAGGGAGATGAGGGGAGTAGGAGGGAGATGAGGGGAGTAAGAGGGAGATGAGGGGAGTAGGAGGGAGATGAGGGGAGTAGGAGGGAGATGAGGGGAGTAGGAGGGAGATGAGGGGAGTAGGAGGGAGATGAGGGGAGTAGGAGGGAGATGAGGGGAGTAGGAGGGAGATGAGGGGAGTAGGAGGGAGATGAGGGGAGTAGGAGGGAGATGAGGGGAGTGAGAGGGAGATGAGGGGAGTGAGAGGGAGGCGCTAGGTGAAGGGCAAGATCTTGAAGAGCGACATGCAACTGCTGTTGCATGCACTGTTACTTATTCCACTCCACACCACATCCACGCACTCTCTGTGCCGACCCTTTCTCCCTTCTGTGCTTCCTGGTGGACCTGGAAGTGGGAGACTAAACAGCAGCATCAGAGGACTTTTAGGCCCTCCTGTTGCCCCCTCCTCTCCCCTTCCCCTTCCCCTTCCCCTTCCCCTTCCCCTTCCCCTTCCCCTTCATGCCTGCTCCTTCCCCCTGTCCCATATCTCTCCTCTCAGGAGGACGATCTAGAGGCGCTGCAGCAGAGGGACTACAGCAAGGTGCGGGACGCCAGTCTGCTGCGCTTCCTGGTGGACCTGCGGGGGGAGGACTCTATGTCCCTCCCCTTGATCTCTCTCTCCTCTCCCTGCTCCCTGCCACTTCATGCCTCTCTCCCTCCCCTCCTTTTCGCATTGCCCCTACCTGGCAGGAGGACGATCTAGAGGCGCTGCAGCAGAGGGACTACAGCAAGGTGCGGGACGCGAGTCTGCTGCGCTTCCTGGTGGACCTGCGCGGGGAGGACTGTGACGACAAGCAGCTGAGGGACGACCTCATGACCATGCTGGTGGCCGGCCACGAGACCACCGCTGCCGTGCTCACCTGGGCTACTTACATGCTCTCTCAGGTGCGTGGAGGGTGTGTCTACGAGGCAGTGCATGTAGGTAGGGAGTGGGTTGGTGCACCAAGCAGCCGTGGGACGACCTCATGACCATGCTGCTTGTGGGGCATGAGACCACCGCTGCCGTGCTCACCTGGGCTACCTACATGCTCGCCCAGGTAAGGCAGAGCTTTTAAGCCAGCTCATCAGTTTCCTGGTGGACCTGCGTGGGGAGGACCGCGATGCCAGATCCCTTCCCTCTTGACCCCTTTCCATCTCACGTTTCTCTCTCCATCTTTCCTTCTTCCTCCTTCCCCCCACCCCTCACAGAACCCACGCGTGCTGGCGAAGCTACAAGAGGAGGTGGACACAGTGCGGGGGGGGATCCCTCCCTGTTGACCCCTTTCCATCAGTCCCTCGTCCCCCTTCCCACCCCTCGCAGCACCCGCGTGTGCTGGCGAAGCTACAGGAGGAGGTGGACGCAGTGCTGGGCGACCGGCTGGCCACGCTGCAAGACATCAAGTCCCTCGAGTGAGTGCCCTGCCCTGCCATGCCATGCCGCACTCTCAAACAGTCCCTGTGATCTTTCTCTTGAGGAATCTCGTAAGGGACATGACAATCCTCCCGGCATAGTTCTCAATCAAGCAATCAAGGTCCTTCAGCTCACCCATCTTCCTTCCACCACCATCCTTCCAACCCCTCCCATCTCTTCCATCCCAGCCTTCTTTCCCACCCTTTTCTCTCAACCCTCTCTCCCGCTCCTCTCTCCCACTCATTCTCCCCCAACCCTCTCCCCCATCTCCCCCAACCCTCTCCCCCATCTCCCCCAACCCTCTCCCCCATCTCCATCACCCCTCTTCTCGACCCCTCTCCCCCACCTCGTCCATCTCCCATCGCAGGTACACCCGCCTGGTGGTATCAGAGGCTCTCAGGCTCTACCCCCAACCGCCGCTGCTCATTCGCCGTGCGCTGGCCAATGACCATCTGCCATGTAAGCAGCTCTCCAGTTTCAATCCCACTGTTGCTTCTGCATGCGTGTTGTCATGAGAGCTGCATGCCCGAGCCATGTCCCTCTCTTGTGCACCGACATAACTCTCATGAGAGATTCTAACACATGCCAAGAGATGCGTGAGAGCATTGACTTATTTGCTTCTCTGTGTGCGTCAAGATACCCTGCTGCCTTGTGCAAGGAGCTGCTGCCTTGTGCATGGAGCTGCTGCCTTGTGCAAGGAGCTGCTGCCTTGTGCAAGGAGCTGCTGCCTTGTGCATGGAGCTGCTGCCTTGTGCAAGGCACCGACATATACTGCATGCATGCACTTCTCATGTCCTGCTGCCTTGTACACAAAAACTCGCCCTGCTGTGACAAGGAGCTGCTGCCATGCAGCTTCAACTTGCGTGTGACCCTTCTCCACTGCCCCACATCCGTAACTCATCCCATCCCCTCTACCATGGCTACCATCTCATCCCATCCCATCCCCCATGGCTACCATCTCATCCCATCCCCTCTCCCATGGCTACCATCTCATCCCATCCCCTCTCCCATGGCTACCATCTCATCCCATCCCCACAACCCTCTGCGTGTCCCCATGGCAGCTGGGTACAAGGGCAATCCCGAGGGCTACAACCTTCCCAAGGGCACCGACCTCTTTGTCTCTGTGAGCCTCCTCTCCCACACTCCCCCCTTCTGAGGCGCCTCAAGGGCACGTGTCTCTCTGTCTCTGGAAGAAGCTCCTCCCACACACACTCCCCCTCACTCACCCCGCCACTCCCGCACTCTCACTGTCCTGGTCACTCGCATTGCATTCCACTTTCCCCACTCTCTGTTTGTTTTCACCCCTAGATCTGGTATGTGTCACTGCGACTCTCCATCCTCCTCCAGCCCAGAGAGCAAGCATGTGATCATGAGCCATGAGAGCAAGCATGTGATCATGAGCCATGAGAGCAAGCATGTGATCATGAGCCATGAGAGCAAGCATGTGATCATGAGCCATGAGAGCAAGCATGTGATCATGAGCCATGAGAGCAAGCATGTGATCATGAGCCATGAGAGCAAGCATGTGATCATGAGCCATGAGAGCAAGCATGTGATCATGAGCCATGAGAGCAAGCATGTGATCATGAGCCATGAGAGCAAGCATGTGATCATGAGCCATGAGAGCAAGCATGTGATCATGAGCCATGAGAGCAAGCATGTGATCATGAGCCATGAGAGCAAGCATGTGATCATGAGCCATGAGAGCAAGCATGTGATCATGAGCCATGAGAGCAAGCATGTGATCATGAGCCATGAGAGCAAGCATGTGATCATGAGCCATGAGAGCAAGCATGTGATCATGAGCCATGAGAGCAAGCATGTGATCATGAGCCATGAGAGCAAGCATGTGATCATGAGCCATGAGAGCAAGCATGTGATCATGAGCCATGAGAGCAAGCATGTGATCATGAGCCATGAGAGCAAGCATGTGATCATGAGCCATGAGAGCAAGCATGTGATCATGAGCCATGAGAGCAAGCATGTGATCATGAGCCATGAGAGCAAGCATGTGATCATGAGCCATGAGAGCAAGCATGTGATCATGAGCCATGAGAGCAAGCATGTGATCATGAGCCATGAGAGCAAGCATGTGATCATGAGCCATGAGAGCAAGCATGTGATCATGAGCCATGAGAGCAAGCATGTGATCATGAGCCATGAGAGCAAGCATGTGATCATGAGCCATGAGAGCAAGCATGTGATCATGAGCCATGAGAGCAAGCATGTGATCATGAGCCATGAGAGCAAGCATGTGATCATGAGCCATGAGAGCAAGCATGTGATCATGAGCCATGAGAGCAAGCATGTGATCATGAGCCATGAGAGCAAGCATGTGATCATGAGCCATGAGAGCAAGCATGTGATCATGAGCCATGAGAGCAAGCATGTGATCATGAGCCATGAGAGCAGAGCAAGCATGTGATCATGAGCCCATGAGAGCAAGCATGTGATCATGAGCCATGAGAGCAAGCATGTGATCATGAGCCATGAGAGCAAGCATGTGATCATGAGCCATGAGAGCAAGCATGTGATCATGAGCCATGATAGCAACAGGTCCACACTTCAGCATCAACCGCTCGCCTTTCCTCTCCTCGGTTCCTCTTTTCAACCCCGCACCCTCCCAACCCCCCCCCCCCCCCCCCCCCCCGCACCCCGCCCCTCCTTCCCCAGGTGTTCAACATCACCCGCTCGCCGCACTTCTGGAAGCAGACACAGTGCAGTGCACTTGACATGTATAGTTTGTTCTCTTGAACTTCGCCCCCCCTCCACGCTGCTCAACATCAACAGGTCGCAGCACACCTGGGGGACATACCATATGGTTTTCATTTAAAAATGCGCTCGATTGATCCCCCCCCCTCCTCTCCCCCTCTCCCCCTCTCCCCCTCTCCCCCTCTCTCCCTCTCCCCCTCTCCCCCTCTCCTCCTTCCCCAGGTGTTCAATATCAACCGTTCGCCGCACTATTGGGAGAATCCGGAGGAGTTTCGGCCGGAGAGGTTCTTGGAGAGGAGGAGCGGCGACGGTATCCCCGGGTGGGATGGGTACGACCCTGACCGGCTGGCAGGGGCTCTCTACCCCAACGAGGTGCGTGCGTCACCCTTATTAGGCCATTGAGGTGAGGCTACTGGGGCACCAGGGACAGGTAGCAAGGCCCAAGGGCATTGAAGGGTGGGATGGGTATCATCCTGACAGGCTGGCAGGGGCTCTCTACCCCAACGAGGTGTGTGTGTGTGTCTTCATGGTATCACCACGAGAATAGGCGTACACTCCCACACTCCCCACCACTCCTTCCTTCCCTCCAGGTGGTCTCTGATTTCGCCTTCCTCCCTTTTGGTGGCGGCCCGCGCAAGTGTGTGGGCGACCAGTTCGCGCTGATGGAGTCCACAGTGGCGCTCGCCATGATCCTCCGCCGCTTCAACGTGCGCCTCGACGGGCCGCCGGAGGACACCGAGATGGTCATGGGAGCCACCATGCACACCAAGTCCGGGCTCTGGTGTCGCCTCACTCCTCGGGGAGACACGGGTGTGCCTGCTGATGCTGCTGCTGCTTCTGCAACTGCGAATGCATGATATTGCGCCGCGTTAACACGTGCCTGGCTGGACCGCCCACTGGGGGCCACTGAGATGGTCATGGGCGCCGCTATGCACAAGTCTCGGCTCTGGTGCCGCCTCAGACAGACCACAAGAGAAGGGTGTTGCTGCTGATGCTGCTGGTGCTGCCGCGAATGCGTGAGTGTGCTATGCTGTGGCGTACAACTGCTAGAAGATGTGCTGCTTGCTGCACCAGCGCTGCTTAGACTGCCCAAATAAGGACTATGTAGAGGAGTTGCTATTGTGTGTTCAAAAGGACCATACTGTAATGCTCCAACAAAAATGTTGAGTTAATGCCTGCAACAGAAAGCTTTCTTTGGCCTTTTAGTAAAGCAGTGAACTCAAAAGAATTACCCGTATTATATTGACCAAGGTACACTTGAATCAACAAATAAAACTAGCATCCAGATTTTGTTGTTTGATCAACCACTATTATTGAAGTTGCATGACTGCATTTTTATTTCTGTAGCCACTGCTGCCTCAGCTGCTGCCTCCATTGCTGCTGCTGCTGCTGGTGCTGGGGACTTGGCAAGCAAGAAGCACCATCCCCCCCAAGATTCAGCATCCCACCTGTCCCATCCTTTCTCTCCTCATTGCTCCTGATATTTGGCACCTGCATCAAGCCCTGAACCTGAACACATGCCTTTTGTTCCATTGGCTCAAAAGTGGCTGCTTGTGACACGCCACTCTTGCTCCCCCTTCCCTGGAACGAACCCATGTACCACACTCCACCCATGCGAATTATGACAATCAGAACCACACCCATGCAGAGGTTGTCCATCAAAGGCACACCCATGCGAGCCAATCATATCACCACCCAAGTCTCCTTTGTGTGATGCTGCCTTCTTAGCTTGAACACACGGATCATGATAATGATGACGATGATGATGATGGTGGTGATGTTGCGACGACGATGCATGTCCGTTGACTCCATTGACTTTGTTGACTCGAGAATCATGTGCAGAATTTGCAGAACAGCGCGTTTTCACAGGAGCTGTAGCTTCTCCTGAAACTTTTGATAATCCTCCTGATACTCCTGAGACTCCTGATACTCGCGAGACTGCTGAGACTGCTGCCTGTGGCTCATGCTCGCAATAGCTGAGCCCAAGCGGAGGGAGGCTTGACTGCGAGAGCCAGCGCCTGTGTCTTGCAGGTGCTGAGGGTGCGACGCTATTGCCTTTCACTAACACTCTGCCATTGCTGCTGCTCGCACCGCTGCTCCACATGCCCCTAGCGCTGCTGCTGCTAACACTGGTGTTGCTCTTTCCAGCACCGTCCGCTCCTCTTCTTGCCTGGATATCAGCAGCCTCGGTCCTAACTCCAAAAGAAATGCTGCTGCTGCTGCTGCTGCTGCTGCTGCTGCGGCTGGTGTGCTTGAAGCTGGAACGAGCAGACGCGGCATGGCAATGCAGAGCTAGCGACTTACGAGCCGGGTAAAAACTTCTTCTCCCAATGTGCTGATTCTGCCACTCGTGGCCTGGCAATGGCAAGTCAAGCGAACACGCCTGTGGCACAGGCGACGGCATGTCAAGGGAGCGTGTCTGCGGCACGGAAGGTGGAATATCAAGCGAACGCACCTGCGGCACTGGGGATGGCATGTCGAGTGAGGGCGTCTGCAGCATCGGAGATGGGATGTCGTCAAGAGGTCGCGCTCGGGGAGCAGCTGTCCAGCCGGCGAGCAATGGAGGTGAGACGCTGTACAGGCATGCCTGCTGACTGCTGGACTGCTCACTAGTACCAACCTGCTGGGATGACAACGGATTTGACAATCGTGGACTCGATAAAGGCAGACTCGATAAAGGTGGACCTGGTGGCGGGCTTGACGGCACTGTAACCAGGCTGGCCCGGGGTGTGCTTACTGAATTTGCAAGTGACTTGTGAAACGACTCTGAAGTTACAAGGTTTGCTTGAGGGCTCTTCACATAGCTTGCAGATGGGCTCCTTTCGTGCTTAAGTATGTCAGGTTGCCTCTGTTGGTGCCTCAGTGTATGCTGCTGCATGCACTCTCTGCTGCCCTCACATTCTCGGCTGTCCTCACACTCAGCAAGGGAGCGCGAGAGAGCCAGTGCCAGCGCAGCATTGGTGAGAAGCTGGTCGTTGAGAGGCGTGGCTGGGAGGCAGGAGAGCGAGCGGCGATGCACTCCCACAGGGCGACGCATGCGCGGTTGGGTCGGTGGCGACGGGGAGAGAATGGGCGTATTGGGAGGGGAGCGAAGGCCCGATCTGGGAGGTGAGCCACGTTGGGCCCGAGCTGATCTCTGCATGTATTCCTGAAATCTCTCCTCAGCCTCCTGCCAGGCGGGTTGTCTACGGGAGAAGGGAGGATCGCAACCTTCTTGCTGCTTCTGCTGCTGCTGCTGCTGCTGCTGCTGCTGCTGCTGCTGCTGCTGCTTGCTAGGCTTCGGTGTTGCTGCTTTGGAGGGAACTTCTGCTACAGCCGCTGCTGTGGGGAAAGCAGCAGGTGCACTTAATACTGTCGTTCTGCCCGCTGCTGCTGCTGTGGTGAGCTGCCTCAAACGTGTGCTGGTTACAGTTCCGATGCGCCCCAGATTGTGCGGGCTAATTCCCCCACTCTGCACGGCTAGTCCCCCCTCCTGTGCACCGCCACTCCCCCTGCTGTGTTCGGTGATGGAGTGGCCATGAGTGTTGAAAGTCTGTGAAGAGCAGGTGGCTGGTGGACGGGGAGAAAGACTATTCCGCTCAAGCCGCTGATGGTTATGCCATTGCCATTGCTGCTGCTGCCGCTGCTGCTGCTGCTGCTGTATAGTACAGCGGCCCTTGGAATTGCCGCTTCCAGGTGTGACATTAGCAAGGGTGCGTGTATAGGGGGAAGCAAGAGCAGCTCCAGATGAAGAGGACGCCAACTGCTGCAAGGAAACGACGCCTTCACAGCTGCCATGGCAGCTACCATGGCATCTGCCAGCAGAAGAATTGCCAGGGCTCCCATGGCTCCCATGGCTCTGAAACACCATGGCAGTTGCCAGCCGTGGCGCGGCCTTTGATGCATGATGGGTCGATGAGATTAAAGCAGCTGCTCCCCCGTTACAACGACTGCCAGGAGAATTCCCCTGCGCTTCTTGCTTCAGATCAAGCTGCGTCACTCGCGTTGCACCACCTGGGTTCTCGTTTTGAGGCGCCTCAAACGTCACTCGCGCTGCACCACCCGGGTTGACACCATCGGAGGTGGCTGTCCTTGTCGGAACGCCTTTCGCAGTGACGCCATAGCCTTCCGTTGTGACACTAACACACTTGGTGGTTACAGCCGCAGCGCCATTCGCAGCCGGGAAGCCATGTCCAGTCATCATCTGCGGGACCACGCCGATTCGGATCCACTGCGACGCGATGAGTTGACGCGCCCACTCGGAGTCCAGTAGTTCGTTGTCCTCGTTACCGTTGTCCTCGTTACCGTTGTCCTCGTTACCGTTGTCCTCGTTACCGTTGCACTCCATCCCGTTGCACTCGTATTCGAGATCGTTGTCCTCCTCAGCACTATCCTCGCCGTTGATATTGTCGACACTATCGTTGTCGTCGCAGACAGAATATCCCTTGGTGGCATGAAACGGGTGGGTTGATGTGGCGAAGAGAGACGCCATGATATGATAGTAGTAGTAGTGAACTTCTGGTCAACGTACTACTACTGGTTATGGCGGCGGTGCAGCAGTTCCTGGACAGCCAATACTTCAACCATCATCGCATGCTATTCCGACTGAACAAATCTCGAGGGAAGAAGTGAAGATATCCTTGCAAATCGCGTTCTCTTTTCAACCGTTGAAGTTGAGCAGAAAGCACTGGGGCGCTGACGGCAAGTACAGTTGTCCTCGAGATCATCCTCGAGCCACCATTGGCGCCTAGCTGGCATAGATAGCACGAATCGTGAGCAGCGGATGCGCTACGACTGTTGATTCAAGGAGCTCGATGGACGCAACAGGCAGATACGGCCGAAAGAACCGGGTGGGAAAAGAAAGATTGGCGCGGGTTTCATCTGTCAGCGTTGCAGGAAACGCGGCTGACACAGGTTACATCTGCCGCGACAACTGGATCTGGATCTAAGCGCGTTACACGCGGCATAACGGGCGAAACACCCATCGTACGTGGCCATTTTGCCAGATTGTGTACCGCCGCTGTTGCTCGCGCTCAACATCCAGCCTAGCTGTTGGCGAGCAACGGCGTTTCCAGGGGAGCTATGGTTCACTTGCTTAGTAAGGGAGGCTCTTCATGCTCTTGTGGAAAAACCATTTTGTGAACTGTCAATCATAAAAAAATCATGAAACATGACGACACGAATCACATGCTCTCGAAAATTTGACTAGCTGGGTCGAAGCTGCATCCATGTGCCTTGCGGATCCAGCCGAGCAAGCGGGGTGCAAGCGGGAAACCTAAGCCGCAAGACGCGGAGACTTGACATCATCTTACAGGAAGGTATGACGTGGTGAAGTGTCAATTTCGGAGGGGTAGTTCCGTGGGTTGCACAAACAATAAGCAGGTTTACAGTGCGGTGACCGATAGATTTGGGGCCCCGTCCCTCGAACTTGCCTTCCCTACCACATCTCGCACTGCACCTGCAGTTGCTCCTGCGCGTTCCATCATTACAGCAGGTGCAAGCTGTTCTGAGATACTGATTACGCTAGTGTCACTTTTGAGATTCTCGTAAGTGACACAAGCACGGCATGGCACATCGTGCTGACATAGCAATTAAACATGAATAGCAAGCTGTGTCACGTTTTAGCCTCCGACAGCTGAGCGAATGACATGACGATTGCAAGAGGAACGCGCAGCAGCATACAGCCAGGCCAAGCCTGATGTTTGGAGTGATGCAGGGGGGGGGGGGGGGGGGGCGGGTGGAATGGGGAAGGTGTTTGCAGTTCGGTTAAGGTTAAAGTCATATTTAGGGAAAGTATATGCCAGCTACTAAGTTATTGAGATCCGTTCAATAAGTTACTTTAGCAGACATCCTACTTATAGCGTATTCCTATCTTCGTATCAAGCGAACCTCATATCGAGCTCACACTAAAAAATCCCCTAAACCCAAAACCTCTTGCTACTTTAACTATGCAAAAGGTACAATCTTGATACAAGGTGGCCTGATATGAGACCGTAGAAATACGCCCTTACTCTCAAGTTTCATCCTGCCAAGCAAACATTTCCGATGCGTGTCCTTTTTCTAACTATCTGCGGCAATTCTACTGCGAAACAAACCCTTTCATTTTTTCGCACCGTGATATTTTTGGCAGAGCAGAAAACATAAATAAAACCCTTAGGGGAGCCAGAACACATTTCGAGAGGACCATGTCAGAATAACTGTGCAGGAATGATTGGATTAGCAAACGTTGGGGTACAAGTACTAACCCTAGAAGTGTTGTACCCCATGAGGAGTGCCCCAAGTAAGATTGCCTACAAGTAAGATTGTACTTTGACACACCCCCATAGGCTAAGTGGGGGACAACAAGACGGTCATGTGAAGAAATGAGGAATGAAGAAGGGAGGGGTTTCACTAGCAGCAGTTGGGAAACATAAAGCAAACCCTAACAGAGTTGTACTCGCTATAGAGCACCCCACTACATGTCAAACTCATATGCTATAGTCTGTGTAGGCTGTAGTGGGGTAGACAATATAGGGTACAACACTTTTAGGTTTTCCTACTTGTACCCACCTGCTTTCTAGTTCATTCATTCCTCATTCTTCACATGGTGTAGAGTAGGTTCCCTAGTGGGAACGCTTTCTTGGGCCCACCACTGAAAATTTCCTCTGACCGGAGCGCCAGTCGCTCCTGCCCGAGGCGCGCCTTTCGCCGCCCTCTCCAGGCCCCTAGTGGCCCCTAGCGGCCTCGTCGCCGCCCCTCACGCGGCCCCGTTACCGCCCCAACGCGGCCCCGACGCCGCCATTAGCGGCCCCGTCGCCGCCCCTAGCGGCCCCGTCGCCGCCCCTAGCAGCCCCGTCGCCGCCCCTAGCGGCCCCGTCGCCGCCTCTCACCCTACGCGGCCCCGAAGCCGCCCCTACGCGACCCCGTCGCCGCCCCTCCGCGGCCCCGTCGCCGCCCTTAGCGGCCCCGTCGCCGCCCCTAGCGGCTCCGTCGCCGCCTCTCACCCTACGCGGCCCCGTCGCCGCCCATACGCGGCCCCGACGCCGCCCCTAGCGGCCCCGTCGCCGCCTCTCACCCTACGCGGCCCCGTCGCCGCCACTAAGCGGCCCCAACGCCGCCTCCTAAGCGGCCCCGTCGCCGCCACTACACGGCCCGGTCGCCTCTCCCCTCCCTAAGCGGCCCCGTCACTGCCCCTAGCGGCCCCGTCGCTGCCCCTAGCGGCCCCGACGCCGCCTCTACCGAGCAGCAGAGCCGCCGAGCCGCCCAGCAGCAGAGCCGCCGAGCCGCCCAGCAGCAGAGCCGCTGAGCTGCCCAGCAGCCGAGCCGCCTAGCCGCCGAGCCCCCCGACAGCCGAGCCGCCCGGCAGCCGAGCCGCCGAGCCGCTGAGCAGCCGAACCGCCGAGCCGCCTGACCGCCGAGCCGCCCGACAGCCGAGCCGCCCAGCAGCCGAGCCGCCGGGCCGCCCTATCGTCGAGCTGCTACCAGTCCTAACGGCGCGCCCCGACCCTACTTACTCGCACAGGTGAGCTCACTCCTTGCTAGACCTCTGCAGTCATGGCTACCCCCAGTGTTCTTACCTTTGACACTGAGGGTCGTGCTGTTGACTTTGAGGTCTGGGTCGATGACCTCCAGCTGTTCCTCCAATGCGATAGGGCAGACGGCCTCTCTCTGTTCGACCTCACCTCTGGTGCCTCCCCTGCCCTGCCTGCTACTGCTGACATCACTATTCGCTCACAGTGGGCGACACGCGATGCTGCTGCCCGTCTTGCTGTGCGTCGCCACTTACCGACCACTGAGCGTGCACACTTTAGCCAGTACAAGAGTGCTCAGACCTTGTACGACGCTGTAGTTGCGCGCTACTCTTCCCCTGCCACTGCTGCGCTTAGCCGCCTCATGCTGTCGTACCTGTTCCCTGACCTTGCTGCCTTTCCTACAGTCGCTGACCTCATTACGCACCTTCGCACTAGTGACACTCGCTATCGCGCTGGGCTTCCTGCTGAGTTCTGCGCCAAGAACCCCCCCCCCCCTCCCCCCATGTACATCACCCTCTACTACATAGTCACCCGGCTCCCTAACTCTCTTCGCTTAGTCAGGGACCACTTCCTTTCAGTTTGCCCCACCACTCTCACCGTTGACCTCCTCAAGGAGCGCCTAATAGCAGCAGAGAAGAGCATAGTAACTGTAGGAGCCTCTCCTGGTGACCCTCGCACCCCCGTCTTTGAGGGGTGTTCCCCCTCCCCCCTCTTGCCCTCTGTTGCTTCTGCTGCTGCTGCCGACCTCGTTGGTTTCTACGGGGTCGGCGCTGCATCTGCCCCTAGCGGGAGACGCCGCACCGGCAAGGGCACGGGGGGCAAGGGAGCTGGAGGGGCTAGCGGGGGCGGTGGAGGTGGTGGTGGAGGCAGTGGAGGTAGTGGGGGTGGTGGTGGGAGTGGTGGCGGGGGTAGCGCAGCGGTGGCAGCAGTGGAGGCGGAGGAGGCGGCGGTGGTGGCGGAGGGAGCGGAGGTGGCGGAGGAGGCGGAGGTGGCGGAGGCGGCGAAGGCGGCGACGGTGGCGGCGGTGGAGCTGGTCGCGAATCTGCGTAGAGGAGTGGGTCCGGTGGTGGTCCGTGCCAGCAGCAGCAGCGCGGTCGTGAGACCCTGTCCCCTCAGCAGCTTCGTGAGTGGTAAGCTGCGCGTCAGCGCGGTGGGGGTACTGGTCCCTGCACTTACGTCCTTCGTACCGGCGACCACGCTGGTGAGCAGTGCGGGGGCCCGCACTCTACCCAGCGCTGCTTCGGCCGCCTGACGGACGCGTGGCGTCACCAGTTCCCTGGGGCGTCAGAGATCTCTCGCTGGGGAGATATGTCTAGGGCGGTGGTTGCCATCTTTGATCTTGACTATGATGATATCCTTGCTGCCATGTATGCTGTGACTACTAGTGTTGAGGGTGACTGTTACCTGTGTGTACCGCCTGACCCGGGCATTGAGGCTACTGCTCTAGGTGCTGGTGAGGCTGCTGCTCTAGGGGCTAGTGCGTCTGCTGCCCCAGGTGCTAGTGCGTCTGCTCCCCCAGGTGCTGGTGAGTCTGCTCTCTCAGGTACCATGTCGGCTCAGGCCTTACACACCTTCACCCTTGACTCGGGTGCGTCCCGCTCCTTCTTTCGAGACCGCACGACGCTTACGCCGCTTAGTCGGCCGGTTGCAGTCTCCCTGGCGGACCCCTCTGGGGGTCCTGTCCTTGCTAGCTTCTCCACTGTCTTACCGTGCCCGGCAGCCCCCTCTAGCACCCTGTCAGGTCTCTACCTCCCCTCGTTCTCTACGAACTTGGTGAGTGGAGCGGACCTACAGGATCGGGGGGTTGACCAGTTCACTCCTGCGAGTCAGCGGGTGACCCACTGCACGTGTGCTCGGACAGGCCAACACTTGGCCACGTTCACCCGTCGGCCAGGGTCGAGCCTGTACACCCTTACTACTGAGTCTCCTCCGGCTGCTGAGTGTGGCCAGGTAGTTGCGTCGAGTCAGGTGTTTGCTGCAGCGTCCAGGTCTGGTCCTGAGTCTGCTCCCTGCTCGTGTCGTCTCCTATCCCACCAGACTCTCCTTTGGCACCACCGCCTCGGTCACCCCTCCCTGCCTCGTCTTCAAGGCATGGCCTCCCGTGTCCTTGTCTCTGGTCTCCCCCGGTCTCTCCCTCCCCTACCTCCGGGGCCTGGCCCTACCTGCGTCCCCTGCGTCGAGGGGCGACAGCGCGCCGCCCCTCACTCCTCCGAGTTTCCTCCGACAGAGGCTCCGCTACAGACTCTCCACATGGACGTGTGGGGCCCCGCCCGCGTCCGTGGACAGGGGCACGAGCGTTACTTCCTATTGGTGGTTGACAACTACTCGCGTTACACCACAGTCTTCCCCTTGCGCAGCAAGGGTGACGTCACTGAGGTGTTGATCAACTGGATCCGCGCAGCTCGTCTCCAGCTCAGGGAGAATTTTGGCTGGGACTTTCCTGTTCTGCGTCTGCACTCTGACAGAGGCGGGGAGTTTTCCTCTGCCCGTCTGGGAGCCTTCTGTCGTGCACAGGGAAAAATGGGATTGCTGAGCGCCGCATTGGCATGGTCATGGACGTCGCTCGTACGTCCATGATGCATGCGGCTGCCCCCCATTTTCTGTGGCCGTTTGCGGTTCAGTACGCCGCGCATCAGCTCAACCTTCAGCCCCGGGTCTCCTTGCCAGAGACCTCCCCCACCTTGCGGTGGACGGGGAAGGTTGGCGATGCGTCTACGTTTCGGGTCTAGGGATCTCGGGCGTTTGTCCGCGACTTGTCTGCGGACAAGCTGTCCCCCGTGCTGTTCCCTGCGTCCTCCTTGGCTTCCCCCTTGATGCGCATGGTTGGCAGTTCTACCACCCCACCTCGCGCCGTGTTCTATCCTCCCAGGACGTCACCTTTGACGAGTCGGTACCTTACTACCGTTTCTTTCCCTACCACACTGCGCCCCTTCCCCAGCCGCCACTCTTCCTTGCGCAAGGTCCTCCCCCGGTAGAACCCCTCCCCCCTCAGGGTCCTGCCCCGTCAGGTGTGTTCGAAGTAGACGCAGTCGAGCCTGTCGAGGTAGCTGTTGACTCTGGTGCTGTTAGAGCTGCTGAGCCTGCGGGTGCCGGGTCTGGAGGTGCTGAGTCTGGGGGTGCTGAGCTTGGGGGTGCTGAGTTTGGGGGTGCTGAGCCTGGGGGTGCTGAGTCTGGAGGTGGTGAGCCTTGGGGTGCGGAGCCTGGGGGTGCGGAGCCTGGGGGTGCTGGGTCTGCTTGTATGGCCGCCGGCGGTGCTTCGTCGAGGCGGGAGCCACTCTCTCCATAGGAGCTGCACGAGTGGTTTGCCCGGCGCTGGAGCCGTGCTGCTGGAGCTGTAGGTACTACTATTGCTGCTGGTCCTGGAGGTGCTCGTGCTGGCGGTTGTGAGAGTACGATGGCTTATGCCAGCTATGCTTGCTTGCCTCTACTTTATCATGCTATTTCTAGCATAGGATAATCATATGCATGCATGAATTGCTTGATTTCCTAGGCTAGGTGCTTTCCTATATTTCATTATAGTTATAGCACCGAGCTAGGTTGCGTGCACCGAATTCTGGCTTTTCGGTTGCCAGCGAATTGCCTTCTACCGAATTCGGTAAGGATCTTTTCGGGACGCTTCGCGACCCGCGGAACCTTCGCGTAACACCTGGTTACGGGGCCTTGTGTCGAGCCTATATATAGCCTCGTGTTGTACCCAAGTGGACATTCAATTCAATTCAATTTGACTCAATTCTCATTCTCTTTTCTGAACTCGATCCAAGATCCTCACACTTGGTAATCAGAGCGGGTTTACGCGCGAGGTCTTCAACCGCTTAGTTCCGGCCTTTAAAAACCGCGGGGGCGACGACGAAAGCGCCGATACGGGTATGTGTTACGAGTGCAATTGAGTGAACGAGCGAGAATTGCACTATCGAAGCAAGAGTACAATGAGCAAAGGCATGAGCGAAGAATATATAGGGAAACTACAGTGGTAACGGTAATGGTCGCGCGACGAGCCTGGGACTGAGGTTGGGAACGTGTCGAAGTGTAGGCCCGGAGCGCGGGTTACCAATCGAGCCGTGAGGTCGGGATGCGATGTGCGAAAATGGCGGGATGATGAATGATGCGATGGTCGCGAGTGGTAACGGTGCTGACTGAGGTGCTACAGTGATGTACGCGTTGAGCAGAGATGCGAAGTAAGGAAAAGGGAATTTCCTTACACTACCCCCCCCTCCTAAAAGGTCCTTCTTACGAAAGCGCGTGGACGTCTTTGAAGTTTCGGCTGCGTAGATAGTCGGTGACGACAGGGTGGTTTTCAATTCTGTCCAGGGGAACCCAGTTGTCCTCGGTGGGTGTACGATCTTTCCAGCGAATCAGAAACTCAACTTTTCGGGCCCCTCGAGGGTCGCGAACTCTGTGGCTCAAGATTTTGTCGGGGGTGATGACTGGTTCGGTTGGTGGTCGTGACATGCTGGATGGTCGATGTCGTGGGAGTTGGCTGGTGGATGGTATGTAAGGGCGAAGCAGGCTGACGTGGAACGAGGGGCTGACGTACCAGTCAGCAGGAAGGAGGAGGTGCGCGGTGACAGGTGTGATCATGTGACTGATTCGAAATGGCCCACATTATCGAGGGCGGAGTTTGGGAGTGATGGGCAGGCGGAGGTTCTGAGTGTCGAGTAAAACGAGGTCGTCGGGCTGATAAGTGACGGGTCTGCGGTGGCGATCGGCGTTGCGTTTAGCAATGATATTTGATTTTTTAATTGCTTCTGCTGCCCTGGTCCGTGCTGCTTGCAAAATCTCGGCGAACTGTTGTGCGCGTGGAACGGGATTGTCGGGGTTTGGTGTCATGGGTACTGTTGGGTTCTGTCCGTAATTCAAGTAGAATGGCGACTGTTGGGTCGTGGCAGATGGCGCGTTGTTGTATGCGAACTCGATGAGAGGCAGCTGCTGCTCCCACGTGTTTGGATCGTCACACGTGGCTCGAATGAGTTGCTCCATAGTCTGGTTTGTCCGTTCTGTCTGTCCGTCGGTTTCGGGGTGATACGATGAACTGAATTGAAGTCGCGTGCCGAACTGCTGCCACAGGTTCCGCCAGAAATTACTGGTAAACTTCGTGTCCCTGTCGCTGATGATCGACGCTGGTATCCCGTGCAGTCGAACGACGGTGGCGATGAAGAGTCGGGCTGTTTCCTTGGCTGTGATTGATTTCCTGCATGCTGCGAAATGTGCCATTTTCGTTAGTCGATCGACGACGACCAGGATCGCGTCATTCCCACTCGCCCCGGCCGGTAACCCCGTGACGAAGTGCATCGTCACCTGCTGCCAAGCACGCTCTGGAGGTGGGATTGGTTGTAATTGTCCTGCCGGCCGCTTCCTTATTGACTTCATGAGTTGGCAAGTGGGACACGATGCCACGTGTCGTTGCACGTCGGTCAACATTTCCGGCCAGTAATAGTACCGCTGCAGCTGCTGCCGTGTTTTTTCTACTCCAAAATGTCCCGAGGTAACTCCATCAATAAAAATCTTCACTGCTGCTCCCTGTATTTTCCCGTAGATTAGTACCGGGCAATCCGTCGCTGTACCCTCCTTATTCATCCGAGCCCGATCGATGGCATGAATCGGTACTGTGACTCGGTGAGGGTCGGTGTGGTTGGGCGAGCAGGCAGACTCGTCAGTATTTGGCCCAACTTCTACTGACTGCTGGCGTTTCCCTGCCTCTGAGACTCCCTCCCCTGCTCTGCTCCTCGGCGCCTCAGCTCCTCTGGGCATTCACTCTTGCGATGGCCCGGCCTGTTGCAAGCAAAGCAGCGCCCCTTAAACGGTGCGGCAGCTGCATTCGTTGCGACGGCGTGTACAGTGGCGTGCTCGGTCGGTCCCCGAGGACGATGTCCATAATAGGACCCCGGTCTCGGTCGGCGTAGAATGTCGATCTTCTCGGCGAGCGCGAGAATCTCGTTGAAGTTAGAGAGTCCGCGCAGCATTATCTCGTGCGAGATGTCCGGCTTCAGCCCTCCGACGTAACGGTCCACCCGCTCCGCTTCGTGCATGTAGCCGACCTGCTCGCAAAGTGCGAGAAAACCGCTGGTATAGTCTTGAACTGACCCGAGCTGGCGCCAAGTGCGCAGTTTCTGACGCGCCGAAATTGAAGCCGCGATCGGCTGAAAGCGCGCCCGAAGCCCTGCGCACCACGCATCCCACGTGCTGTATTGGGCGGTCTCGCAGAACGAACTCCAGGTGACAGCTGGACCCGAGGGCCCTTCCTCGTACAACGGTGGCTCGTAGGCGCGTGGCGACGTCACGATGACTCGCCACTAGTCCATGGCGGGGCCCCTTAGCAGTGAAACCGCATACCGGATCTTTGCGGCGTCCGACTCGACGTAATTGGCGTCGAAGAAAACGTTCATCGTGAAGACCCACGATTGAACTGTCGGACTGCCACGTTGACTTGGGTCGAAGCAGGGCGGGCGTTGCGGCTTGAGCGGCATTGGTGCCATGTTGGGTTGTTCGCCACTTGTCGCCGCAAATTCCACGTGCCGACGGACTTCTCGAGGCTCCCGTGGGCTTGGTGCGATCCTGTTTCCTCCCATGCCAGGCATCGGCTGGGCGGCGCCCTCACTGGCTGCGCCTGAGCGTTGTTCCGTGCTGTCGTGTTGTGTTGGTGTGCCGGACCAGATGATGATCCGCTCATCCGAACGTGCAGATGTGTTTGTTGGTGCGTGGGATGTCGTCGGTATGTTCATCGTGGATTGTTGACGGGCGAAGTCACGTTCCGCCGTGAGGGTCGCGATTTCAAGCGCCGAATCCTCCAGTTGATGCACGAGACGATCAAGTTGCTCCTGCGTCAATGTGGCGAGCGTGAAGTCGGCCATGGCGGGGGTGTCGGGCAAGCTCAGCGAGAGCCTCGGTCGTGGCCGTGCGTGCTTGCGAGAGAGCACTACGAGCG